GGCAAACCTAAGCACCTATTCACGGTGGTCCCGGATGTAAAATTCCATCTAGCATTGGACTGGTTTCATCCAAATCTTACCTACTTTGATGGGCATGGAGCCCTCCAGTAGCAGAGCTAATTGAGCACACCAAAGTCTCTGCATTGTGACAGACAGCCCTGAAAGCTGCCCACACTGTTTTCAGAGGGTTTGCCCAAAGTCTTACCTACTGATGTCACAGCCCAAAGATTCTCTTCCTTGTCCCTCCCTGGAGAGTCCAAGCAAGACAGACCTGGGCCCAGACACTGTACCTAGAGTGGACATAGCCCCCCCCATTCATCACCTCTTCTGGGCAGTGACAGCCTTATGCTGACCCTAAGGGCCTTAGACAAGCCCCTTTGTCTTTGGACCTTAATTTCCTCTTCTGTTCAATGGGCTAATGTGTACCTTACCTACTTCAGAGAGCAACTAAGAGGATAAGGGCTGGCATCACAGCCCTGCTCAGAGGCACAGTGTTGGCAAAGCACATACAAAGTTCTGGCCTCCATCACCAGCCCTGCCAAAGAAAAATATTATAAGAAAACATAGTAGAGCCAGGCGCTGGTGACTCATGCCCATTATCCTAGCTACTCAGGAGGCTGAGATCTGAGGATGACAGTTTAAAGCCAGCCCAGGGAAGGAAAGTCCATGAGACTCTTATCTCCAATTAACCCTCAAAAAGCCAGAAATGGAGCTGTAGCTCAAGTGGTAGAGTGCTAGTTTTGAGTTAAAAAAAAAAAAAAGTTAAAGATTAACATCTAGGCTCTGAGTTCAAGCCCCAGTACCAGCAAAATAAAGAGGAAGTAGTAGGAAGTAGTTGTGGAAATAGTTTCCTATCAAGGAAATTTGGCCTGTTCCTGCCAGGAAGTTGCTGTGTGTCCCCAGGTAAATCCCTTACCTTCTCTATAAATGAAAAGAGGACATTAGATCATTTCTAAGTCCCTTCCAGCTCCTCTGCTGTGTGCTCCTGTAGTAGATATGGAAGCCCATAGAAGTTTCTCTTTGGGGAAAAGATAGCCACAGTGAACTGCAAAAGTGCTATTTGAATACTAGTCACATAGCTTTCCATCTGTTCTTAGGAAATTCATGCAAAATGGTGGTGTGGAGTTGGGAACGGGGATACTGGCCTCCAAAGAGGCACATTCCCCTAGGTTTGTCTGGACTTCCTGAAGCTTGGATAAGTCTGTCTGCTAACTTCACAAAGGTCTGCCAAGCCTCACAGCTACTTCTGAAATACTTTGTCTCATGGTGTGAATGCTCACCTGGAAACCACCATTGCCAGCATTACCCTGCTTCATCTGAGGATGGGGCAGGGCCTGGGTGGGCAGCTCCTTCCCTCCTTCCCTATCTCTCTCCCTCTGTCCCTTCCTCCCCTTTCTCTCTCCCTCTCCCTTCCCCCTCTCCCTCCCTCTCTCCTTCCTTCCTCCCTTTCTTTCTTTCTTTCTTTTTCTTTCTTTCTTCCTGTTTTGGTTGTGGGGCTTGAACTCAGGGCCTAGGCAGAAGTTTTTGCTAGTGCTCTGCCATTGATCCACAGATCCACTTCTAGCTTGTTTGTTGGTTAATGGAAATAAGAGTCTCGGAACTTTCATGCCCAGATTGGCTTTGAACCATGATCCTCAGATCTCAGCCTCCAGAGTGGCTAGGATTCTGGAAGGTTAGTTCTTCCTTTTCTGTAACTTCTTGTGAGAAGATCCAAAGCCCAGAGAGAGAAGTTAAGTAACGTTCTCAAAATCTCCAGCTAGGAGATTCAGGATTTAAAGCTCCTGAAGTGTTCCGCCAACTCCCCCATATCTGGGCTGAAGTGTACCTGGCAACCTTTGAGCCTGGGATGGGAGGAGGCAGTAGAACCAGACACCCCACAGCGTCCTAGAGCTGAGTAGGTGTGTGGGTGTATGGGGAGGGGTCCTGGCCTCACTCTGCACCCCCACCCCCTCCGGGCACGCTCCGGAAAGTCAGTCTATCCGCTGAGCTGCGTGACCCCCCTGGGCCCAAAGCCAGGAGCGGGGTGTGGCGCTGGCAGCTGTGGAGCCTGGGGGACTCCTGGGGGACACCCCCCCCCCCCCAGCCCAGGCCTTGAGCTGTGTGTCCTTCCCCTTCAACCCACGCTCCGGCTTCCGGAGGGGCCTTGGGCCTCTCTGCTTTCTCCAGCCGGAGCCAGAGGCCACGGAGCAGGCGGCCCGCACCGGGCCGCACCTCGCCCCTCCCCTGACCCCTGAGCCCAGCGCGGGCACCAGGCTGGGGGGCCTGGATGCCCCTACTCTCGTACTCTGAGACCTCGGCTCTGCCCCCTGGAGTACCCCGGACGCCAGCTGTGCCCCTGCTTCCAGCCCCTACCTCCAGGCAGAGGCGGTGAACACCCCCCCAATGCCCTGCACCCACTCTGGCCCCTCTCCGAGTCCTGGGGGCTCTGCGCGGGGGTGGGGCCGGAGAAACCCAAGTACAAAGGGGTTGGATGGACACCAGGAGATGGAAGTGCTGGGTAGGGAACCGGCCAGGCGCAGAGTTCCAAGGGGATGAGTCGCGGGGTTAGTGTGGGGTCCCCAGTCCCCTCGGCAATTTTGGCTGCACAGCCAAATTGAGAGTGTGGGCGGCTCTCCTGCCTTGGGCATACCCGGGCCACATCCTGCCGCCCGCCCTCCAGGTGTGCTGAGACCCAGCCTCGAATAGAGGGTCACTGTCTCCTACCTCAGCAAGACGGGGATCAGGGCTCTGAAGGGCTCCCCTCTTGTAAAGAGGGTGGGATTCTGAGTCGGGTGCCTGTGGTTCACGCCTGTAAACCTAGCTACTCAAGAGACTGAGATCTGAGGATCTTCAGTTGAAGCCAGCCAGGGCAGAAAAGTCCCTGAGACTCTTCAATTAACCACCTCAAAACCGGAAGTAGTGCTGCGGCTCAGAGTGGTAGAGCGCTAGCCTTGAGCAAAAACGCTCAGGGACAGCACTGATTCTAGTTTTGTTTTGTTTTTTGTTTTTGGGGTTTTTTTGTCAGCCATGGCACCTGAACTCTAGGCCTGAGTTCTGTCCCTCAGCTCTTTAGCTCAAGGCTAGCTCTCTACCACTTGAGCCACAGCACCACTTCCGGCCTTTTCTGTTTATATGATGCACAGCACTGATTCTGAACCACAGTCTCCAAGCCTGTAAATTAAACGAGAGAATGGAGAGAAAGACATAAATGTCAAGAGCCCTAGGCTCCAGAATGGGTCTTGTAGCCATCCCTGGCCACCGTGGATAGCTTGTTAGTGAATTGTAGAGGTGCACTGGTCTCTTCCTTAATCCCTCTTTGCTTACCACTATTATCATGGTTACAGTCCGGCTCTGGTTCTGGTGCCTGTGATCCTAGCTACTCAGGAGGATGAGATCTGTTAGATTAGGCAGGAAATATATGAGATTCGTATCTCCAATTAACCACCAAAAAGCCAGAAGTGGAGGTGGCTCAAGGGGTAAAGTACTATCCTTGAGCAAAAACGTCAATGGAGAGGGAGAGGCCCTGAGTTAAAGCCCTAATACACACACACACACACACACACACACACACACACACACATACACACACACACACACAGTACAACCGCTTGCTTTTGGAATTCCAGGCCCTTCATTCCACACAGAACTTCACAGTTTGTATTGAGCTGCCTGAGTTTGATCCCTGCTTCCACCACCCACTGGCTGGATGAACACAGACAACTCTGTGCTGTTTACTAGTCTATAGATTTGGTGATTGAAATGGTGGCAAATACATGTCAGGTGCTTGCTTGGTAGAGTGCCTGGCACAGAGCATGATCCCTGCCCTGAGAGCAGTAATGGCTGAGCTGTGTCTAATAGCTTCCTTGTGGGTGAGCCAGAGACTTGGCCCTGGGTACAAACTAAGCCTGTAGATTCAGAGCCAGGCCTAGATTGGCAACTGTGAGCAGCTACCCAGAATGCTGGTCCTGACCAGCTTCTTGCCAGCCCGCATCCCATAGGAACCTTTGAGTAGTCAATGGGGTCTTAGGACAGCAGTGGATAAACTGGACTGTGTAGAAGTTATGGGGAATGGTTGTTAAAATATCCTACTGAGGGTTAGGTAGGTAATTTAGTGGTAGATTGCTTGCCTTGCATGGATGAAGCCCTGGGTTTGAATCCTCAGTACCACATAAACAGAAAAGGCCAAAAGTGGTGTTGTAGTTTAAGTGGTAGAGTGCTAGCCTTGAGCCAAAGCAGCTTAGGGAAAGTGCCAAGGCCTTGAGTTCAAGCCCCAGCACTGCCAAAAAAAAAAAAATCCTACTGAATTCCAACCCTGTCCTCACCCCAGTCTTGAATTAAGTGGCTTGGGAGGACACCCTGGAATGTGTACTTCTTTTCCGTCTTTTTGTGCCCATACTGGGGCTTGAACTCAAATCCTGGGCACTCGCAGTTCCCTTAGCTTTTTATGTTCAAGGCTATTACTGGACCACTTAAGCTGCACCCTTTCCTGCTCTTCTGGTGGCTAATTGGCGATAAGAGTCTCATAGACTTTCCTGCCTGATCTGGCTTCAAACTGTGATCCTCAGATTTTAGCCTTCTAAGTAGCTAGGATTACAGATGTGAGTCACTGGCCTGGTTGAGGTTTGCATTTCTAAGCAGTGAAGCTAGAGATACTGGGCCATGGACCTCTCTTTGACAATTTGTCTTGGTGCATAGAACCCATAGGCTGCAAGCTACTAAAGTCATGCTAGGAGGTGGGCTGGGCAGAAGTCTTCAATCAGCCAGTTCCATGTGCTTTGGGGATGAAAATGTTGGGGGTGGGGGAAAGGGAAGTATCTGAGGTTGAGAGCACCCAAATCTCTCCAAGTTTCAGACACGGTGAAGAAACGCAAGGGACACAGTAATTTTTTCTCTACCTTCTTTAACAATGAGAGGCTGGGAAAGGCTGCATGGTTATTTGAGGATAAAAAGAAAGGAACTGAGCCACTTGGGCTTAACCTCTTATATTTGGGGGTCCTCTCCCTTCTCCCCCCGACCCCCAGACACCCAAGAGATTCGAGGGAAGCAGGAGGGCAGCAGCAAGGCTCGCAAGGAGAGGACAGCCTTCACCAAGGAGCAGCTGAGGGAACTGGAGGCCGAGTTCGCTCACCACAACTACCTCACCCGGCTGCGCAGATATGAGATTGCTGTAAACCTCGACCTCTCTGAGCGGCAGGTGCGGCCCGTCCATCGGCCCCTTCCCTGCTTCTCCCCGCCCTTCTTAAGCATCCTTCCCTGGACCTTCATTTCCTTCTCACTCTGCCCATCCAGTGCTTCCCACCTGTGGAGATACCTGAGGATTCTCTGGGGAGATTTCCATGATGTCTGGGTTCCATCCCAGGGGACTGTTAGCATTGGTCTGGGATGGTTTCAGGACTTCCAGATTTTTCAAAGATCTCCCCAAGTGACTCCTGCATGAAACTGAACTTGGAGCATTGGGTCTGGTTAGTCCCTAAGCTTGAGTGGACACTGAATCCACCTAGGTACCTGTTTAAAACATGAATTCTTGAGATCTAGGGAACAACCTTACAGTAGCAATGAGCAGAACTGAAAATCTGCATTCTAACCAGGTTTCCAGGTGAAGTGGCTGTATAGCTGTGTCCTGGCATTTTTTTTTCTTTGTGATAGTACTGGCTCTTGAGCACTGTCTCTTGACTTTTTTGCTCCATGTTGGTTCTCTACCACTTGAGCCACAGCTCCGCTTCCAATTTTTAGGTGGTTAATTGAAGACAAGAATGTCACAGACTTCCTTGTCCTGGCTGGCTTTGGACCATGATCCTCAGAGCTCAGCCTCCTGAGTAATTAGAATTACAGGTGTGAGCCACTGGCAGCCAGCTTGGATTTTGAATCAGAAGATAGATTCAAAAAGTGGAAGTGTGCTTCATATGGTAGAACATGGGCCTTGAGAGACTCAAAGCCAAATGAGAGTAACAAATCCCTGAGTTCAAGCCCCAGTACCAGCATACACACACACACAGACACAGACACACACACACACACACACACACACACACACACACACACACGAAGAAGAAAAACTTAAATCCTTCCTCTGACATTTCCTAGCCCTATGACCTTGGGTCTATAAAAGGGGACAGAGTCCTGACCCATGTGCAATATTGAAACTTGGGTGAGTAAACAGATTGGCCAGGGCTGACCAAACTGAAGAGTGCTTTAGAAATGTGCCTAAGGATGAGGCTGGTGGCTCTCTACTATTAGACCCTTGGGTAATGAAGACAGGGTGGGGGTGGGGGGGACTTAGGAGAGGCAAAGACAATGTTGAATGTTGTTTACAGCCTGTTCCCACATGTGTCCCAGCCTTCATCAGTAGACACAAGGCAAGACTTCTGGACAGATCTCAATTCCTGAGCTCCTTGGAGTTGACCCCTGCCTAGATTGAGCTCCTTTCTTCCTTTTTCAGGTCAAAGTATGGTTCCAGAACCGAAGGATGAAGTGGAAGCGTGTGAAGGGGGGTCAGCCTGTCTCCCCCCATGGTCAGGACCCTGAAGATGGGGATTCTGCAGCGTCTCCAAGTTCAGAGTAAAATTCTCCCTGGTTGGGGGTGGGGGGGAATCAACACCAAAAACTAAAGACTGAGCCCCTCCCCAACTCTCTCCACCCTCTCCCTCTCCTCATCCATCTCATATATATTGCATTAACTCTTGGAGATGAAGCTGCCCAGCATGCCTGAAGGCCTCACCTGTTCCAGAAAGTGCTTGCTGGCATGGCTTCATCTTAGCTGCCCTTCTCCAGGGTCGAATAGCTACTGGAATAGATGCATCTGGAAACAGTTCTGGGGAGACTGCTTCTCAGGGTCTCTGACCACCACCTACATCAGTCCTGGCATCTTCTTCCTCCTCCAGCCAGGCTATCTCCAAGGCTGACACCACCTGGCCTGGGGCCTAGGGTGGGGGGAAAAAACCTGGGAAACCAGCCAGTAACTCATAAAAGTGAACCCTCCAAAAGAAAGGAACTGAAGGAGACACCCACACACATAGGCCCACTTCCCTGCTCTTCCTCTCTGAAGGCTGCATCCATGACTTAAGGACCGTTCTGGATCAGAAAACTTCCAGAGAAACCAGCATCCAGAGAGTTAAAGACAGCACAACTCAGGCTGCACACCAGAAACCCGTCCCTGTCTCCAAATGTGTTAGGTATTGCAGAGACAAGTTTATGAGCATTGGCTGGGAGAAAACATGAACCATAGCCTGGTATGGGACCCTATGTCCCCCCATATGGGTAGGTTCCTACTGACTTGACTGAATGGCTCAAGACAAAGTCAGATCTGCACCAGCTGCTTCAGCTCTGTGGAGGGCCCTGCTGGGACTGTTGAGCAGAAGTTCCAGCAAATGGGGAAGCTCTTTCTTTCCAATCCACAACTTCCAGTTTGAAAAATCGCTCCAGGGACTCACAGCAAGGAGTCAATGGCAAGAAACCGGTCCCTTGTCCAGGGATGGAGAGCGAATTTGGAGGCTGTTGGGTAAGAACTTAGAGCTGTGGAATCCTGGAGAGGAATGTTCACCAACTTCCGTGTCCTGTGATGTTCTAGGGACAGGAAAGCTGTCCTTTTTCCTCCAGTGGATGTATCCTTGTCCCTCCTGTGTGCTCCAGAAATGAAGCTGTGGGCACATATGTGTGTGCTGCTCAGATCTCAGTCTCTTCTAGGACTGGTGGCCAAATAGTCTGGGAAAACTGAAGCCTTAAAAGAGACTGCTGCCTGGGCCTCTGGGCTCAGTGCTTAATCTCCCAATCCCAGCCCGTGTTGCAGAGGAAGGTCAGGAAGAGTTTGGATTGCTTGCACTTAGATTTAATTGTAAAGTGTGTAAAAAGTCTCCACTTCCCCACTCTCTGAAAGGACAAAAGCCATGCAAAATAATTGCCAAATGAGATGGCTGGTTAGTGTGAATAGATTTTTTTTTTCTAAAACATTTCATATATTTCCCTAAGATTACATCAAGATAACTATGCGAGGTCAATTCACTTTGTAAGAAAACTCTTAAAGAAATAAAGTCAATTAAAAAAATTTTTTTTAAAAACCAAAGCTCCCAGACCCTTTTGTTTGCAGAATGCAGAAGTACAATTCCATTTGGTCTTCTTATCCTCATGTGATGATTGTCCAGATAGAGTCTAGATGCAATAGGGGAAAAGGAAATAAATGGTGGAAACCAAGCTTTCCTCCTTTAGGTTCTGCCAAAGATGGATATAATGTAATAATTAATGGCAGGAAAAAAATCTGGGCGCTAGTAGGTCACACCTGTGTTCCTTGCTTCTCAGGAGGCTGAGATCTAAGGATCACAATTCAAAGCCAGCCCAGGCAGACAAATCTGTGACACTCTTAATCTCCAATAAGACAGTAAAAAGCCAGAAGTGGAGCTATGGTTCAAATGGTAGAGCACTAGCCTTGAGTTAAAAAAGCTAAGGGAGAGCACAAGTCAAACACACACAGTAAAAACAAAAATCATTTCTCTAATACAGTTAAAGTTAGTAAAGAAATCTTTTTTTGTGGGGCTGGGAAGGTAGCTCAGTGATAGAGTGCTTGGCTTGCATGCATGAGGTCCTGGGTTTTATTCCTCAGCACCACATAAGCAGAAAAAGTCAGTAGATTTCTTTTTTTGTTTCTTTTGTTGGTGATGGAGCCTGAACTCTAGACCTGGGCACTGTCCCTCAGCTCTTCAGCTCAAAGCTAGCGCTCTACCACTTGAGCCACAGCGCCACTTCCAGTTTTCTGAGTGGTTTATTAGAGATAAGAGTCTCATGGACTTTCCTGCCCAGGCTGGCTTTGAACTGCTATCCTCAGATCTCAGCCTCCTGAATAGCTAGGATTACAAGCGTGAGCCACTGGCACCTGGCTATAACTGGAAGCAGCACTGTGGCTCAAGTGGTAGAGTGTTTGCCTTGGGCTGAAGAGCTGAGGGACAGTGCCCAGGCCCAGAGTTCAAGCCCCACAACCGACAAAAAAAAAATCTTGAATATAAACCAAACATCCCTACTATTTATTTATTCTTTATCCCTCTCTCCTTACCCTCCCTCTCCTCTTTTCTCCTCCTCTCTTCTCTTCTTTCCTTCTCATGCTGGGGATAGAATACAGGGCCCTATTCATGGTAGGCAAGTACTCTACCACTAATTTATACCTCTCAGCCTCATCCCTAGTGTTTGAATTCAAAGTTTGGAGGTTTTTTTTCAGGGATGAAAATGTCACTAATAATAAAAGTGATATAATATGACTCATATTCTACATCTTTTTAATTGAAAATAGTCTCTCACCAAGATATCAAGAATAGTTGAAGTATAACTGGTTAGAAAGAGGGGAGGGAGGGAGCCAGAACAGGAAAGCTGGCCAGGAGGAGACAGAAGCAGCCAGGGTCAGGCAGGGACAGTGACTAGAAGTGACATTCTTGGGTCTGGTAGAGTATAGCAGACCCATCATCATCAAGGTGTCAGAGGATGGGGAGGCTCAGGGGGCTAAGGTTCAGGCCCACCAAGCAAAATGGACACCCTCAAACATTCCTACAGAAACCCAGCTCCAGTGTTTGGGAGCTCTTCTGGTTTTCCTCATGTGACCCAAATATTCCTTTTCTGCCCACCCACATGCACATGCAGACTCTTCCTCTGTGCCTTAGCATGTTCTCTGTCCAGGTAGACACTTTCACAGTCCTCCTGTGGCTCTGCCATTGTTCTTTTCCCTCTGCACAAGGCTGACATGAAGGCTACCCATAAGCCCAAGTTCCAGAATGAGAAAAGACCTGGGACTAAACCAAGGCTGATGCTCATAGCACAGTTGTTTAGTCTTTAACCACTCAGTGATACATCTTGGTTTTTATAATCCCTCCCTCCTTCCCTCCCTCCCTCCCTCCCTCCCTCCCTCCCTCCCTTCCTTCCTTCCTTCCTTCCTTCCTTCCTTCCTCTCACTACATGGTTTAGGCCAGTCTCAAACTCTTGATCACTCATCCTGTTCTCTAGTCCAGGAGAACTTTCTACAATTCTGGCCATGGAACCAAGATTTTCTGCCAATCACTCATTTACCCCATGCCTGCTGTCTGAATCCTGGACCAGCCTTTCCCCTTTGACCTGTTGTTGGCAAAGAAATAGATTCCAGGTTCTGACCTCTGACAGCAACAGGCTTCAAGGCATGCCTGATAAGAGCCTTGAGACGCTTCCATTCAGGATGATGCTTAATAGCTTGAAGGTGACATCAGGCCTGGGAGTAAAATCCAATTGAACAGAGAGAGACATGACCTAACTCGTCTCTCACCACGGGCCTGGCTGCAAGAGCTTCTCTTTATTAATTTCCTAACTGGAGCTGCTGGCCCAAGACTTCAGGCTGTCCCCAGAGCTGGGGCCCATGGCTGGGCATATGTCCAGCATGACTGGGAAAGCAGCAGGCTCAGCCGGGGTCTGAGAAGGGCGACCATCGTGGCATCTGGACTGTTCTTGGCCAAGGTCTGGTGATTGGCTTCCTCCACCATCCTAGCAGATTTACTGTGCTTTGAGAAAAGCCAGGAGGGCAAATCCCCAGTCTCTAAAGAGTTCCTTGTGGTACAAAGGAAGACATGAGACAGCCTTCCATCATACTGAAGGCTTCCCCAGAGGCTGGAAAGGACGGTTTTATTTGTGGTTTTTAAAGATGATTTAAACCTAGTTTTCCAGGAACACAAATCCTGTCTCAAGCACTCAGAGCACCTGGCCAGAGGGCTGCAGGCCTGCTTCTGAGCTGTCGGCTCTCTGTGGAGACCAAGCTGTCTTGAATTATTTTTTTCCTTTTCTTTCTTTCTTCCTTCCTTCCATCCTTTCTTTCTTTCTTTCTTTCTTTCTTTTTGTGCAGTTGTGTGGCCTGAACTCTGGGCCTGGGTGCTGTCCCCAAGCTCTTCAGCTCAAGGCTAGCGCTCTACCACTTGAGCCACAGCACCACTTCCGGCTTTTTCTGCTTATGTGGTGCTGAGGAATCAAACCCAGGGCCTCATGCATGCAAGGCAAGTGCTCTACCACTGAGCCACCTTCCCAGCCCTTTGCCCTTCTCTCTCTCTCTCTCTCTCTCTCTCTTTCTTTCATATGTGTGTGTGTGTGTGTGTGTGTGTGTGTGTGTGTGTGTGCTGATGTGTGGTCTGGGCATTGTCCTTTAGCTTTTTTGCACATGGCTAGTACTCTACCATTTGAGCCACAGCTCCACTTCCAGTGTTTTGGTGGTTAACTGGAGATGAGTCTCATGGACTTTTTTGCCCAGGCTGGCCTCTAACCTCTAGCCTCAGATATCAGCCTCCTGAATAACTAGGATTACAAGGATGAGTAACAATACCCAGCTTGGATTATTTTCCTATAGTATTTGTTCTCTGCATGAACAGTTTTCTCCTCCCTCTTCTCCCATTTTTTGGAAAGTGATATGCTTAGGGGCCCGCATGGGCTCTGCCACAGACTGAATGATCTTTATAAAGACCACTGTTGCCAAGTTTCAGTTTCCTTATGCTACTAGCCTGAAAAAGTTATGGTGATTGATACACATTTGTAGAAAAATGTTTCTTTTCTTTTCTTTTCTTTTCTTTTTTTTGCAGTCCTGGGGCTTGAACTCGGGGCCTTGGCACTGTCCCTGAGATTCTTTGGCTCAAGGCTAGTGCTCTACCACTGACACCACAGTGTCACTTGCAGCTTTTTCTGAGTAGTTTATTGGAGATAAGATTTTCTGCCCCAGCTGGCTTCAGACCGCAATCCTCAGATCTGAGTAGCTTGGATGACAGGCGTGAGACACCCAGCACTCAGCGCCCAGTGCCCC